GTGTCTCACTGATGGAGACAGACGCTACAGAGACATGTGTACAGGTCGCCCTCTGTAACTGTATCTGTACATGAAGTATAAGATTTAAAAGGGATTAAATGATTTAAAATCCACAACAGTGATAATACGACTGATAATTTCTATGATTAACAGTTTAAATAAGTGAATAAAGGCCTCCTTTAAGGTGATAGAGCTGTGCAGCACGTCACATGTACCTGGCGTCATGTAAGACTGATGTAACCACAGATTTCTCATTTGGCAGTTTAAGCTCCTCCTTCCTTGCCTCCTCCGCTCGCATCTCCTGTTGGCGGGAGTAAAGGCAGATTCATAGTAGTGCGTCGGCTCTACGCTAACAGATTCTCACTCCAACCTCGTCACATGTCCACGTTTGGTCATGGAGTTTCCACGTCCACACATGACGTCCAAGGTACCCTGAGTGTGTTGGTTGTTGATGTTCTGGGACACCGTGTCAAATTCAGCCTGTTACATGCTTTGTCTGTTTTCAAAATACACTTCTGTTTTCACAGGAAATGTACAGTTTGCAAACAGTCTCTTTCAAAATAAAAGCACTACATCAGTACAGTACTTCCACAACAAACGCACATGGTTACGTAAGGCCAACAGACGCATGTGGTTGGGTTTAGGCAACAAAAGCAGGTGTATCATGCTAACATGAAATGACTGTAGAGCCTATGCATGTGGCCTACGCCACTGTGAACATTTATCGGTCACTCAGGAAAGCTGCTTAGCCTTGCATCAATTTTTCCAGTGGCCACTTGCAGTATTGCAACAAAAAAAAAATTCCCCCTTAGGACACCACTGTAAAAGAGATGTCCGTAAAACTGCTGACACCTCAAACTGCAAACTATTGAGCTATTGAGATTTTATATTTGTAAAACTTTCCCCAAGCCAAGAAAAGTGATTTAAAAATCTGTGACGTCACCGTAATTTGAAGTCCATGAGCTGAGTGGGAGGGGCCAGTGGGAGAAACACTAATGTGCATATTCAGTGGACCACATACCATGAAAGTAAACTCAGAAGCTAGAAAACTTTTTGGTGTATGTGACTAAATTTGAATGAATAGACGCCATCTTGGTGTCCGGTATCTAGTTATTATTAAAATCCATGACATTTATACTTGTGTGGTGGTGTGTCTGTGTCACTCTGCAGTTACACCGCCAAAACACTAGTCAGTGGCGGAGGTTTCTGTGAAGTGCTGTAAAGTTTAGTTGATTCAAAACACACATTAAACACACCCTAAACACACATTAAACATGGCTTAATAGAGACAATTTCAAACACACAAATCAGCTTCACTATAACTCGCAGCATTCACAGACAAACACTTGTCTTTATCTGGACACATTTTCCCCACAAATACAACATGCTAACGTTATTAGCACAAGCCTATGGCGTTTTACATTGTATAAATTAGCCTAGCAGCTAGCTGACTTTTCCTCTACTGGTATAAATTTCGGATAAATCCCACACAGGACGTAAAATGTCATTTTGTTGGTAAATAAAAGTAAATAAAGCTTTGTTTCCACTGAGGGAAATGGTTTCCAATTTACAAAAATAAACAGGAGGTCGCTGCAATGTGTAGTTACATTTCTGGGAAGGTGCACATCAGGCTATGGCGTAGGGTATGCATCTGGCCTACACCAAAGGTATGGTGTCGATTCGACACTGAAGTCTATAAATCCCACTTAAGACACAAGGAAGGGAAGCGAGTGAGGGAAAAGCAAGTCACACGTTAGCATGATGGAGCCTCTCTGCTCTGCCCTGCTCTCTGTGGATAATTAAGGCTGCTTTCAGACCTAGAGTTGTCTCCTTTGGTCTGAATCAGGGACTCATGTTGTTCCAAAGTTGTATAATTGACCTATGGCTAAGTCCCGCCCTCAAACGCTATGAGCCAATCACAGTGCGTATAGCCATTCCCATACGCTCGGACATTCTCTGCCTGGACGTCCATTGAAATGCATTACAGAAAGTTAGTTTTGTTCGGTTTTATGAGCTTTTTCGGATATTTGAAGTTTAAAAATGGTCAAACGGTGTCACTTTGCTGGAAAGAAATATAACGTTATCTTTAACATCTCTAGCTAACGTTAGCTAAAGTTAGCCTAACGTTAGCTCCTAGCTGGGAGTTCATTAGCCTATTTTGTTCTATTTTTGTACTTTGGTGATCGTACATCATTGTTAGCTGTTGTCCAAAGGGCTCTAGTTAAGCTAACGTTAACTTCTGGAGCTTAGCTTCATTAACTTATCTGTAATGGCAGAGATAACAAAGGTTGGCAAACGTTATGCTGAATGATTCAGTGTAAATACTGTAGCACCAAACTAACGGAGAGACACTCTTGGTAAAGATGGTAAAAAGGCCGTTATCCTTTTCTCATATTCTGAGCCAAAAACCTTAACTTCAGTGGCACTTTAACTTGTTGTCTTTGATGGTGACGACAACGAGATGCGGTTCACAAGCGTACACTGTGACCTGTAAATTTTGGCTTGTAATTTAAGCTTTTCATTGACCTTCTCAACAATAAAATGATGAATATATCCCTCCAATGCGTAGTTTAGGCCCTTTTGGTTACTTCTCAGTGACATCTGATTGTTATGTCTCCAAAAATCATCAACTGCCTCCTGTGAAATGCCGTGTACTGTGACACCTGCCATAGCGCCGGTCACTGAATGTTGATAGTTTGTCCGAGTGAGTGGAGGGGGGCGTGGCTTAGCCATAGGTCAATTGCCTAGAGTTGGTTCGTGTTCTCACAGCAGAAGGGGAAGGGGAAGCAAACACTGCTCTCACAGGTGAAAGTTGGTGTTTGTTGGACCCATCCACTCCAGTCAGGCTTTTGCTGCCTTAACTTTTGTTCTTGTCCTGCTGCCCCTGACGCCGCTGACCACAGTTAAACTATTACAGTGACCAGCCACGTATCATGCCAATGCTGAAGTGCCAGATTTCGACGATTTCGGAATGAGACCAGGTTGCATGTGTTACATATGCCCTTGAAAAAAGCAAACACATCTTATGATTTTTTTATTTTCTTTTGTAAAATTGTCAATAACATCTACGACAAAATAATATGCTTATTCCAAAGAAACTATAATAAATTATTAAAATTGTTGCATTAGATTAATAATTTATTATTTTCCTTGGTATTCTTTGTCATACACAGATATGCAGTGATGATTGTTGGGTAATATGTATGTTGATGCGATCCAGTGTCACGTCTCTGATCAAGTGACACAACGCACAAGAGGGCCTGTCGCAACTACCTGGAAATTAAATTAAACTTTCTGCTTCATTTGGACAAAACTTGATTTTTATATAACCTGAAATTAGTGAAACTGAAGGTTCTGGAAGGTAAAAATAAAAATAGGAGGAAACATAAAGCACCTGTTGATCATATCTCCATCAGAGGCCTCACAGTGACTGTAGCAGTATTTTATTATCAGATTTTCATCCACACTGCTGACGTCATCCTTCATTCAATTTTCCATATTTTATCAATCAATAATTTATCAATCCGTGTGTAGTTTCTGAGTGAGACATCTGTCTCTTTTCCCGCCTCAGAGGAGTCCCGGGAAAAAAGAGAACATCACACACGTGCGCAGTGAGGGCTCGCGCTGTCATTTTCCACCCCGCGTGCCGCCTACAGGCTCCTCTTGTCTCGTGAGGATGTTTTTTCTTCTTTTTTTTACAGTCACGGTCAGAAACCAGCGGCTCGTGATGTTTCGCGCGGCAGATTCCGCGTAACGTCAAACTTCCGGCAGTTAGTCACAGTGAGACCGGAAAACATGTCGTCAAAATAAAAGCCTACAGATTGGGAAGTGGTGACATAGATAATGGATTATGTAATAAGTTCAGCAACTTTCCAGAACTAGTGATAGTTTACATTACTTTGATTTTTTTTTACAAACATCAGATTTGTTGAGTGTTTTAATTTATTAATTATTTGTTTTGACATTAACAACAAAATTTTAACTCTCTTTATTTTTAGTATCATGCAATGTCACGTCATATTTCAACCTCCATATGTCAAGGATGGAAATAAGTTATTCATTTGACTTTATTTGTTATCCCTCTGCATTTTGAATTAATGTCTTTGGTGCAATGTATATGACCTTTTTATATTCGTTTCGTTTGAAATGTTGAATGGATTGATTCAGTAAAAAAGAAACAGAAATAATAAAATAATAAATAAGCAAATTGATAAAAAATGAGAAAAAGTTTAATAATTTTTAAGGAAAATTGATAAAAAAAAAAATCATTAATAAGCAAAATAATTAAACAATTTGATAAAATAAGTAAAAGACAAATGTTTTTCTTTTGAAAGAGAAAAATGGATTAAAATCCAACTAAGTGTGTAAAGTATAGTTACATAGTTATACTAATCTACAAGTGAGTGGTAATTAACACTGAACATTTTTTTAACTTCACCCTTTTGTGATTGTTTAAAGTGTAAGTAATTAATAGCTTACATTATTAAACACTTTTTAAACAAAAGACAAATAAAAGAAAACATGACCAAATGAATATATCAAAAGAGTTTCATTCATATAATGTGATAATTAATCCTATTAATTTAACCATCATTGATTTACAACCTTCTCTGACTTGTGACACCTTAAATTACAATTTATTTTTAAACCCCTGCCAAAGTCAGCATTTTGTAAGTTGTAAATAGTTCAACCATAAAGTCATTTAATTCTCTTTTAGTGTTTTAGGTGTACTGTTCAAAAATTGTTAAGACATCTACCAGGAAAAAAGGCAAAAGTCAAAAGAAACAACCATTTTCAGAAATATTCTATTATTATCCCTATTGACTCCTCAGATTCAGATAATTATTTATTATATTATATTTTATCATATTATATTATATTGTCTGCACACATGAACAGTTTTACCAGCTGTTTTGTATCACACGTTAGTAGCCTATTTGTTAACTGGGTTTTATTTTGAAAATGCCTCCCGGAAGCTGTGTCCCTGTCCGTTCTATTCCTCTTTACCGCTCGGTTCGCTCGGTGACGTCTCTCACCGGTAAAATCCACCGACGAGTCGTCGGGACTGACCGCTTCTCCTCTCTCTGCTTCGCCGTATCTCAGAACGGCATCACAGCATCACGGAGCCCGACTCTCTGCCTCTCCTGCCCGGCCTGACGTGCCGCGACGAGCCGCTGACAGCAAGGACACGGAGCGGGACCCGCTTCTCCTCAGCATGATGGATGTAACTCCGGTACCGACTCACGGACAAGGAGCCCGGTGGACTCGGCGGAGGGGCAGCGGGGACTTGTGAACATCCTCCCGGTGTGAGGATCTGTCGCACCGACTTGTTTTCTCCTGAATTTGAATCTTTTTCCTACAATGTCACCATCAAGGAGACGCGGCTGAGGCACCGGCTCTTCCTCTCGGGTCTCCGCTGACCGTCATCCTCCTCAGCTGGTCTCTGACGGTTTTAGCTAACGTTAGCTCCGGTATGAGCAGAACCGGACCTCCCTGTCACATCTGACCGGGGATCGGGGGGTGGTGGCGGGGTGCCGGCGGGGACACAGTTGGATTTGTGGATGAGAACCGGTCACCGGGCCGGATTCCGTGCGGAGGGACGCCGGCCGGAGCGGAGGTGGAGGAGGGAGGAGCAGCAGCGGCAGCAGCAGCTGCGGGGAACCGATCTGACAACCTCATCCCCGGGGGGAGAGACGCAGCGAGGCGGCCAGAGGAGGATGTGAAGATGGGTTTAGTTTTCGGTCTCCTGTGGCTGTTTACCGGCTTCCTGCAGGGCGTGCACGGCCAGGGCGTGTACGGTAAGGACGTCATTAACATGCAATTAACATGTTGTCATTCTCCAAATATTCTTGCCCGGTAAATTCGGTGTGATGCGGTGTGAACGGCCGCAGCGCAGCACAAGCAGCGTTTAACCCGGAATACCACCCACACCAACTTGACCTTGTGAGGGATTTAGCGCGTGTAGGCTAAATGTGTGTGTGTGTGTGTGTGTGTGTGTGTGTGTGATGCTCATTCAGTCATATTACATTCATGCCTGGCCTGAAGGCACAACAGGTAGGCTGCTGCACACCAACACACACCTGTGAACACAGTGAGGGGGGCTCCTAATAATACCTCTGCAGTAACTGACTGATGTTCAGTCTTTGTTAGATCATCCTGACGCCATCATGTCTCACCGTGTCTCTGTGTGTAACAGTACTGCAGGTCTACAGGGTCTGTGCAGGTCTACAGGGTCTGTGCAGGTCTACAGGGTCTCTGTGAGACTTGGGGTGTCTGCAGGTCTAAAGGGGATTTGCAGATCTACAGGGTTTCTGTGGGACGCACTATGGTGACATGAAGTTACTGCTGCTGTGTCATCTGTGACAGCACACGAATATTTGGGTCTTTGTGGGACTTAAGGTTTCTGCAGGTCTTCAGGGTCTCTGTGGGTCTTCAGGGTCCCTGTATAGGCCTATGGGTGTCTGCAGATCCACAGGGTCTCAGTGGGACTCAGTACATGGTGACATGATGTTACTCCTGCTGTGTTATTTTTATCCTGTGTGACAGTGCAGGAATATTCTGGTCTTTGGGGGACAGAGGGTCTCTGCAGGTCTCCAGGGTCTTTGTGGGACTCAGGGTGTCCTCAGGTCTACAGGGTCTCTGCAGGTGTCTCTGTGGGACTCTGTGGGACTTACTGTAGTAGATTGCATGATGTTACTGGTGCTGTTTTATTGTGTGACAGATCAGGAATATTATGGTCTTTGGGGGACTCAGGGTCTCTGCAGGTCTACAGGGTGTCTGCAGGTCTATAGGGTGTCTGCAGGTCTTCAACGTCTCAGCAGTACTCAGTAGATGGTGGCATGATGTTGCTGCTGCTGTGTTATTTTTATCCCCTGTGACAGCTCAGGGATATTCTGGTCTTTGGGGGACAGAGGGTCTTTGCAGGTCTACAGGGTCTCTGCAGGTCTACGCTGTCTCAGTGGGACTGTGTGTCTCTGCTGGACTCAGTAGATGGTGACATGACGTTATTGCTGCTGTGTTATTTTAATCCTGTGTGACAGTGCAGGAATATTCGGGTCTTTGTGGGACACAGGGTCTCTGCAGGTCTACAGTGTCTCTTTAGGACTCTTTGTTTCTGTGTCTCTGTGGGACTCACAGAGCCTGCAGGTCTACAGGGTCTCTGTGGGACTCTGTGCCTCAGTGGAGCTTGTTGTTTCTGTATCTCTTTGGGACTTAGGGCGTCTGCAGGTCTACAGGGTCTCTGCAGGTCTACAGGGTCTCTGTGGGACCCTGTATCTCAGCAGGACTCAGTAGGTGGTGACATGTTGCTGCTGCTGTGTTATTTTTATCCTGTGTGACAGCTCAGGAATATTGGGGGTCTCTGTGGGACTCAGACTGAGCTCTGAGTGACCTTTGTGTCATGATGATGATGATGCTGGTTCATCACTGTGACATCACTGTGACATCATCACTCTGATCCCTCTGAGCTCTGAACGTGACGTCTGTTTGTTTCTGCTCTTCATAATTTAATCCTGTCAGATTATTTATTTACTTTAACATGATTTAATTTATTCATGTTTAATCTGTGTGAACATCACAACACACACCGTTAGCACGTGACACTGATGTTGATCTGGTTGAGACGACTCACACACACACACACACACACACACACATAAAAATCAAGGGCCACTTACTAGCTTTGCTCTCTGACATGTTTCTGGACCTTTAGACTGCAGGTCATGGTCTTCATCAGCAGCTATCATCACATCTTGAGTGGAATTTCCACACGCATGTCACATGATAATAACTGACCAACCTCCATCTGCTGAAGAAGACCATGTGATGTGGTTGAAAGCTCAAGAAAATAACTCATAAGTGACCTTGAGTTACACTTATTTTTACTCTTTCCAAGGTCAAGAATCAACTTTGATATTTCTTCTTTCACATCTTCTCCAATAGAATATTTCTCTTTAACAAAAAAATATAAAGGTCCTCTTACTAGTCTGAGCTTTCAGCCACATCTCATGGTCTTCATCATCAGTGTCAGAGTTTGCTCAGTTTTTAAAACTGAATTTCAGTTCTTACTGTAGCTGACATGATAACAGCAGTGAAGACTTTATCTGCTGATGAACAGGATCTGAAGAAAAAGCAAATAAGGGACCTTTAGCTCATTTAGCATCTTGTTTTGAATCATAAACAGGTGTAGGCACTACGGTAACACCAGATAGAGACATCGGGGACTGTAACGGGTGGTACACTGTCATGTTCACGAGGGTAACGTCAGTTTTGTAATGTGACAAATTACACGTGACTTAAATAGGGCTGCTACTGACAAAGAGTGTTCCTAGTCGACCAACAGTCATCATCAGGGTCCATCAGTGGACTAGTCTCCTGCATGTTTCTGATATGAATGTAATGATTAAATGATATATTTTGATGGTTTGAGTTGAAGGTGTGAGAAAGAATAGTATCAGTAACATTGTTAACACTGTGCTACATTACAGAGAAATACAAACAGTACTAATGAACCTTCATTAATATAGGCCTATATTTTATCTACAAGTGCACGTCACACACTGAGCGAGCCGCCTGTTAATGACGCTGTGGGCTAATGGGCATGTAGCTACTTCCATGTTTCAGATGATACGTCATGTTTGTAGTCGACCAATGAAGATGAGTTTACATATCACCTTGGGTTCGTCCTTCACCTTCTCAAAATGATCCCACACTTTGGATTTCCTGCCCGACATGTTATTAACTAGCCTGTGGAATAACAGCAGGTACCAGCCCTGGAAATTAACCTGACTCCTGTCTGACTGCTGAGCGTGGACACTTCCTGTGTCTGTCCTTTCAAATTAAAGTCACACATGATCCAGTCATATAGGTTTAGATTTATTTTGATAAGGTGCAGGTCCTAATAGAGTTTTTGTTTGTTTGTTTGTTTGTTTGTTTTCTGTGACTAAGTGACCAATGAAATCTTGCCAACTAATGACCTTTCTGATCGACTAACGTTTGGTCGACTATCAGGGGGCAGGTCTACTAAGATGTAGTGAGAAAATACACCTGATTTAATATCCCATAGCTCCTAATAGAATCAACCTGACATCACTATTGAGTCAAGCCTTTTAAAAGCTCGGTGTTAGATGTTAACTGCTGCTGCTTAATCATGCTAACACTCCTGCAGCCCTGTGTCTAACTTGTGTCAGGCAGTTGGAGATCACACTAGTGATGGGCAAAGTAGAATCAGTTCATTAGAAAAATTTGTTCAAAAGATTTGTTCACCGAATTGTTTAGTGCTTGGCGGGAGGAGCCCAGACTGTGTACTGCGTAGTCCGACTCACTGAACTGATACACGGCTGAATGATTTATGATTCAGAGCTTAGTGGGTGAGTGGCTGAGTATCATTACTGTCCAGCCTAATGTTTTAAGTTTGTTTATCTGGAAACTAAGTCTGTTAAAACAATGGGGAGGTGTGTGATGGTGTTCATGTGGCCTGACTCCTGGCTACATTAGCTGTTAGCTTGGAGAAAACGGTCCCCATGAAAGTGTATCGCTGAGAAGAAAAGATTTGAATCACTCAGGGATCGAGGTTACGTCGTTCACTGAGTGATTTGTTCCCTGAGTGATTAGTCACGCAGTAGGTAGTCCCTCCCTGCACCCTGGCTGCATTGCAACTCGCGAGTGATTCATCGTTCACACAGAACAAATAGGCAGTTCCACTCCCAGCCTGCACGCTCACTGCTGAGAAATGAACGAATCAGTTCCGGAAGTGATTCAGTTCAGTACGTCCACTCAACAGATTAGTTCTTTTGAACGATTCGTTCGTGAAGGACACAACACTAGATCAGACCCTTGGCGCAATCCTGTTGTCTTCCTCTGTGAACGACATGCTCTGTCCTCTAGACAGCGTGCTGCAGTTGTTGTTCTTCTTCTTTGTGTTTATTGGCAGCTGGCAAACCAAGTTTAAAGGTACATGCACCACCACCCACTGTGTTGGTGTGTAGATGCTGCCCTTGTTAAGTCAATGAAAGCAGTTTGGCTTCATATTATCGGCGCTATTTATCAGCTATAATTTTTATAATAAAAATGTCCCATTATTGGCTGATAATTTAGCGGCCAGATATATATCGTGCAGCCTTAATATTTATTATTGCTCCACCTGGACGTTAAAAATAAACCTGTTGTCTGTCCAGTTGTGTCATCTGCTGTGGTGTTACTGGCGTGTTGCTGTGACTCATTTCATCCACTGCTCGTGTTGCATTAAACTCTTTGGTATCACCTGAGACATCTTATTATAATCATTATATTTATATTCAGGTCAGTAACCAGAACTTAAACATTTTTGACACAGCAGTATTTCTGTTCCATGTTTCTTTGATTCAGTTAACTGTTCATTTATGCTGTTTATCTCCCGACATGGAGCCTTAATTGGTGTTTCAAAGCCTCCTTCACTCTGCCAGCAGTTTAATTATGATGCATTAATACTTAAACCTTATTTATTCATCTACTTATTTATGTGTTGGCCTGAAACACGAATCTGAAAAATCCTCCAACTGTTAGCAGTAAAATAAACTCCCCACAGGTCGCGAACATTCCTGAGAATCCACAGGAACAAATATTAAGTTCACTAACCTCAGTGTCCTCAGCTGGAGCTGCAGCCTCAGCCACGGTTCCTGGAGTCCTTGTAGTCCTTTTATTATCTGTTTTATGACCTCGTCCTGAGATGTTCCTGTAATGATTTACACTGGAAGTGTGTCTGACACAGTTTACAGTGTGTTACTGTTCTTTATGGAGCCAGTGAAATATTCCTTTAATA